ACATTAGTTGGGGTAATTTCTAAAACATTTCCGCTTCTTTGAAGGAATGAATCCAAATCGAATTCATTTGAAAGAAAGACGTCATCAATGGTTGGAATACCCATCCGAACTGCATTCAACTCAATGTCCTAAAAAGCAGACGAATAACGAAAATTATTTAAAAAAATGAAATTTCAATACAAGAGATGATGTCTTCAGAGTAAGAGAAATAAAATGCTTAGCTAAAAATATTAAGTTTCTTTGTTAGAAAAATAACTTTAAACTCTCAGGGCAGGATCAATTATTTGTAATAGGCATATCAAATACAGCCGATATATTTAATCAGTAATAAAGTAATTCAAAATTAGTTTCTGCTTTTTCAGAGGTATATTTGAAATTCTCTTACCATAGAAACAATAGCTATATCAAGTTGTGCTCCACTCAAACATAACGCAATATAAGTCATATATCCCTGGGATTAATCAAGATGTTAACATTCCTATTAAATATAGATATGTTAGTGCAGTGTTTCTCAACCTTTTTAAGCAACGGCACACTTAGCAACAAATTTTAATGGATATACAATTAAATGTTATGAAATAAAAACAGATTTTAAAAAATGCACACACAAATATGAACTTACTTTACTTCAATGTTTCTATTCAGCTATTTTTGCAGCTTATTTAGTGTGAAACCTGTGCCTCGTGTTTTTTCACGATTTCTTTAATATTCGGTCGAATAAGCAGACTCTCATTTCTTCTTCAATTGAGGGTAGTATTTCTCGCTCCTTATTTTTTATGTTACTTAGTTTTGAAAAGCCTAATTCATATCAATAAGAAGTAGAAAATTGCAATAAAACTGATAAAGACTTTTTTTTAACTAATTTGGGATATACCTTTTATATTTAAATCCAAAATATATCAATGGCTACTGTCGAATGTTTTACTCTGAGCCTTCGATCGCGAGAAATGGTGGCCAATTCTTCTTCTTCACATAACGGAAGTCCAGTATTAGAATGAACGTAGTGAAAGGAATTATTTCAAAAAGTTTAATACCTATTAATTTATTCAAATACTAACGTTATACCATTACTACTTCCACACAGACGCATACACCGGATGAGATAGATAAAGTGTTGCTCTTTTATATTTTTCATTTCGCGCATGCGCGTTTTTGGTTCTTGATTTTGTCGACAGCACTGTATAGTACTATCAGTTGGACATCGTCTGTGAGAAAAAGAGCACCATAACGCAATTCACTCCGCCAGAAATTTGAAAACGGCATGCTGTACTGTTTGGCATTCGCACCGAAAGCTCCAATATAAACATTTCAGAGTGTTCAGGTGTTATATCGCTGTAAGCCGCCAGTCTAAGAGTAGATCGCTACTTAAATTTAAAATCTAGGAAAAAGTAACGGGAAACAAACTATGTATAGAATATAAGTCCCCCCCCACCAGGAAAACATAATAATTCACAGATAATAGAGAAAAAGAATATGTGGAGAGCTTTAATGCAGATGAATATAGAATTTATTTTATCCAATGTATGGATTACCTTCAAGTATTTTTCTTGAAGAGTCTTGGGTAGCACATGACAGAAAGCGAAATATTTTGCCACCTATGTGGAGAGTTCCATGCACCAAGCTCTATGTTGCTTAACTTCCGTGAGCGTGAAGGCAGATAATGTTAAAAATAACTACACACCGATTTAACACAAAGTTTTATTTCATTTCGCCATCTTCTTTATGGAGGCCTGAGATCGTCAGCCCACTGGTTGTGTGAACTGTGCAGTTATTTTCCAAGCATTGTTTAGATGTGGCACAAGGCCGAAAGTATGGGGCATCTAGTGAGGATCGAACTCACTACTCAGTCGTAATTGGTCTAGCAAGACATGCTTTCTAACCATTACACCACGCCAAGGTGCCTTAGTTATTTTCCAAGCATAGCTGTAGCACAAGGCCGAAAGTATGGGGCATCTAGTGAGGATCGAACTCATTTTTCGGCTGTAACTGATTTAGCAAGACAATCTTGCTAACCATTACACCACGCAGAGGTGCCCTTGTGTGGACTGTATAGGCAGGACTTGAACAACATGGATTCTGTGTTCAAGAGAACCATTGCCAAGTGCAAGTTTAAGTTTTGCAGAGATTCGTTATGCCTGAAATGCTTAAAATATTCAGAGACTTCTATATTTATTTTAATAATTGATGATGAGCAAATGATTTTAACTTGTGTTTTAAAAATTGATGGTCGAAAATATTTTAATTTGTCGTAAGAGTTTATGGTGAAAATAAATAAACTTCTGTTTTAAATCAGTGTGTTGTTATTCTTAACATTACCTGACTTCATAATAATAAAAATATTTACCGGTAAAATAGCCCATTATACTGAGACATTTTTTTTCCCCAATATGATTTTCCATGTATTTAACGTCTGTTTTCAATGATAAAAGTAAGCTGGTGTAGGCTTTAAGAAAGTATTTATAGTCTCAATAAACAGAAATAGTACTCTGAAAGAGGAGAGTAACAAAACAAGGGTAGACAACTGTTGATTATTAATAACATGTCTCTTTTTTTTTTTTTTTTACCTATCTGTGTTTTCGACTACATCTGACCTTCTGACTTAGTTCAGGTGGGATATCTGATTTCCTTGTACACTGATACCAATATTTTTGAAATCCAGTCACATTTTAAAATGATGATTGAGTGTTAGTCTACACGAAAGATTTACGCGAGACACCATTATTTCACGGTTGATTTTTTTATTTCTTTTTTTAGATGAGTGTTAGCTACAATTACACTATTAACTCAGGTTCCAGTGACAACTGATACTACCATCATCTAATAATGACACTTTCACCGTTTCAGAGTTCCACGTTTGTGAACCTCAATCATCCGATCCTGATACCTGATCTCTGTTCTCTTGTCACATGTTGAGTTAATTACTATTATTTGTATCGTAGCATGGTATTATATTATCTTTTAAAATTGTTAAGTAAACTCTCAGTGAGGCTCAATTGTTTCGTTTTCCGTTTTCAATGGTTGTTTTTCCGGCTTTTTCAATGGTTTAACATAGCAAACTTCGTAAAGTCATTCACTGCCGAAGTTTGTCCTTTTTTTTTTTTTTTTTCATTTACGTATTATTTATTTTATTCACAATCACTAGTTATATAAATCGTAAGAGTCGAAGGGGCAACACATGTACTTCATCCACAGTAGAAGAGGTATTGCTTGGGCAAGATAGCCTGACGGAGTTCAATCCTCACCAGGCAGTTTTTTTTTTGTTTGTTTTTTTAAATTATTATCACGATGTAAATATGTCTTATAGCCGAATAGTATGATATGGTGATATTCTAAGCGTGGCGCACAAGACCGAAACTATAGTATACCAATTTTCCAAGCGTAGCTCAGATGTGGCACAAGGCCGAAAGTATGGGGCACCTAGTGAAGATCGAACTCTCACTGCTCAGTCGAAATTGTTCTAAAGAGACAAGCTTGCTAACCATTACACCACCTCGAGGTTCCCAGGCCGAAAGTATAGTATAATGATTTCCCAAGCGTAGCTCAGATGTGGCACAAGGCCCAAAGTAAGGGGTACCCAGTGAGGATCGAAGTCACTGCTCCGTCATAATTGTTCTAGCGAGACAAGCTAGCTAACCACTACACCACCTCGAGGTTCCCAGTCCGAATGTATCGTGTATGTCGAAGTGCATAACCAATGGAGTATCGTATAATAATTCTTCTGTTTCCTTCATTTTTTTTCTTTTGTTAGAAAATCAGTTACTTAGATAGCGCGTACGACCAGCTATACCTCATAAATAATGGACTATTCCGTTTTGATGGCGAGTAAAGATAGAAAAGCCATATTAAAGACTATGTTCGGTTTCCGTGAAAGTAAGAAAAAAAGAAAGAGGGACAGAAGGCGATAACGCTCTCATATATTTAACGTCTGCTTCAGCGAAACAGAAAAAATCTTGCTAATTTTAAATATTTTCATTTGTACCCTCTTACATCTTTAAATAATAATAGGCCTTTATACTTAGGAGTGTTATTGCAATATTTTGTTAAAGTGTATGAACCAAGTATAAAAATTTTAGCATGAGAAATTAAAAAATAAATGGACATAGAATAGACTGCGCCAGGGATAGTTCCACCCAACACCGCAATTTGCTAGAAAACCTTAACCTAAATCACGAATCATATTATTAAATATCCTGACTTTCACACTGATGCCATACATGGCCTGAAACACGTTCAGAAATATCTAAAGTCTCAACTTTAATTCAACTGTTTTCTCAGATTAAAGAATAAAAATGGCATCCAGCAAATGAAGCCTGTAGGTTTTAGCGAGGACCATCCTTCATTGAAACTTGTGGAATGATGCTACTGTACAACAACCAAATAATTTTACCGAATAACAGAAACTACAGGATATGAGGAATTTCAATAACAACAATTACCAAAAGGAATAACATATCTCACTCGAAGAGAAAATAATGACATAATCAAAATTTTACGCTACTTAAAACAAAACCTTAGGAAGGACGCAATAATCTATACGGGAAAGAGTGATAGCAGGTTAGCTACAGGATATGAAGAATTACAATAACAGCAACAACTAAAATGAATAGCATATCTAACTCGAAGCGAAAATAATGACATAAAATTCTACATTAATTAAAACAAAAGCTTAAGAAGGAAGCCCTATCAAGTAAGTAAGTGATAGCAGAAATAGTTTCACAATAGAATTTTTTTTTAAATTTCAACCGACTATTTCATTGGCTGCTTTGGACAATGAATGCCGAATTTTTCTTTATAATGAAATGTTTAATATTATCATTATCATTATTATTGTTCGTTCAGAATAAATATTAGCTATATTCGCTCTTAGGGTCACATCACGTTGAAACACCGATTCCCTTACGATTATCGAAGTTAAGCAACGCCGAGCCTGGTCACTACCTAGATGGGTGAACGCTTGGGAATACCTGGTGCTGTAAGATTGTATATATTTGTGGTATGGCTTACGGCCACATTACGTTGAAACACTGGGTCTCGTGCGATCGCTGGAGTTAAGCAACATCGAGCATTGTCAGTACCTAGAAGGGTGACCGTTTGGAAATATCAAGTGCTGTAAGGTTGGATGTGCGGGTGGCGTAATGAATAATGGCTGGGAATTGTTAATCGGTCAGCCGAGTTCCAATTCTAGTTGGGTTCTTATATTCACCTACGCGCAAATACCCCGAGGAAAAGTATGAATCCAACGCTTCCTTCTCCCCAGTTACGGGTCAATTAGTAAGACATGTATCACTAAATCATTATTATCTCAAAAAATGTTAAAATCTAAAAATATTTTCTGGATTTAAATAAACTAAATAAAGGTCGATAAACCGTAGAAAAAGAAATCAATCGATAACTTAATCAATCAACAGCCATATTCACAAATCCCGTCGATCTTTATTTATGTAATTGTGTTTATTTATTCATTTATTTTTTTTGTTTATTTAGAAGTCGGTGTCAATTATGTATTATTCTTGTTACGTTCCATCTTGAGTTCAGCCGAGTCTGGATGCCGGAGTTGAATAAGTGCATTTTCAAACTAATACGAAATCTCTTTCTTTTTTTTCTTTTTTTTTTCTTTTCCTCCTATTTGTGCTTTGTAATAAATATAATTTAGTGAATAATTTTTCCCGTACTAACAAGACGCTTTATAGCTTGGACCAATATTCTGCCATCGGGCAATACACCTAAATCTTTTTTTTTCATTTTTTTTTTTCTTTTTTCATTAATTGATTTTTGTCAGTCTGACCGGCGCCCATCTCCGCCGGCGTCCATCTACGTTTCCTAAAATGTAATCCTGGCAACGGAAAATAGAATCGAAAGAAAGAGATGATGATGATGATGATGATGATGATGATGAATTTTAAACGTAAAAGAACAATCATAGAATACGCTCAAATAGAAAGCTTTGAGAGAGAGCGAGAGAGAGAGAGAGGGGGGGAGAGAGTCAAAAAGTAAGTGAAAAATTCGATAGCTTGAGACACAAAGGAGATAGATAGAGATACGGAGACCGAAGCGGAAAGAGAAAGAAAATACAAATATAGAGAGAGGAAGAAAAACTCGAAGAATTAAAAAAAAGAAAGGAAGAAAACAAGGAGATAGATAGATAGATAGAGAGAGAGAGAGAGAGTAGGGAAAGGATACTGATATACAATGATGAAGTAGACAGCTAAAGATAATAAGAGCGATGGCGGTGAGAAGCCGTAAAAGAAAGAAACCCTTTCATTATCGAAAGAGTTAAATATAACGGCCTCTTCTACTCCAACAGCTTCTTCTCTCGCACGGTGGAACTCCCTTGCTCTTACTTGATTCCCTGATAGGTATATTATTCAAATATTCAAAGGTAATGCCAATCGACATCTTCTGAAGCCTTGATCTTGATTCCCGTCCTTCTCTTTACCCTTTCCTCAAACACACCTCTTTACTCTTACGCTCACTCCCTGCAACATTTTGCGTCCTAGTGGCACTTCCGCTTTTCTTGGGTTGAAATGCTTAAAAATAAGAGAAAAAAAAAAAAAGAGAAACTGAAATATAAACGAGATAGATATTTAAGCCCAGAGAGAAATTTAAAAAAAAGATAGAAGCGAGGAAATGGCTTATAAACATTAATGCCTCCAACATAAGTCTGATCTCATTTACCCACCATAGAGACGCCTCCCTGTCTCCTATCAGCATGACTGATGCTCTACTCCACGAGAGCGTCTCTCTGCGCCTGCTTGGTCTCACGTTTTCCACTGACTTGTGGTGGAACAACTACATTGAATCAACAGCTTCATCGACCACAAGGTTCTCAGTGTCGCGCCAGAAGATTTTTTTCTCTTCTGAGTCAATCCTTCAGATCAACAAATCCATCATTCGTTTTTGCATTGAATACTGTTGCTATATATGGTCTGGTTTTTATTTCTGGTAATATTTTTTCTTCAAAAATGTATAGCTGGTAATATTTTTTCTTTTTTTCAAAAATGTATTACTGGCAATAATATTTTTTGTTTTTTTTTTTACAAAATATTTCTGGTATTAAAACCTATATTTACACTTACATAGTGTTTTGACCCCAGCTTGCGGGGGTGGGGGTAACTATTTACCACAGTTGGGACCTTAACAGGCGCTACCACCCTGGGTCAAGGTGAACCTCGGAACACCAGCAATTAAGAGGTGGTTCTACGCTCCTCAAAACCTCCTGATCAAAGGCCTTGCTATCAGACGTAGTTTATCGTTTTACCCAGGATGCGGATGTAGTTTATCGTCATACCCAGGACAAGCGCTATAAATAGAAACCCCCAAACTACATTAAATATAATGATGGGAAAAGAGATAGAGACAGAAATACAGCCCCAGATAATACCTCACCCCTCCTATCATGCTCTACCTTTACAAGCGCGCCAGGTGAAACCCCAAAGGGAATATCGACGCCACATTTGGGCTGGGACTGTCAAATCCGCTCTGTCCAGGCTCGAAGGAGACGAAACCTAGGATAAAATGTGGCACAAGGCCGGTTTAAAGTGGGTATCTCCGAGCCCGTAGGCTCGGCCAAAAATATGGCCTTTCTGAACCCGCCTTGACGGGTTCATGTCCTGTCTACCACCCCGGACGAAACCCTGCCTCTCGGCAAAGCCTCGTCCGGGTCCCTCACTGCAAAATGCAGAGAGTTCGACGGAGAGTGAATCTCTCTTCCTGGTACCAACCATATTTATATGGTCGGTACTCCACTATGCAAATTAGGTGGATCCTACCACAACACTATCACTATTTTCCCGGAAGATATGAGGGCGAACTACAATCATTTGTTCTACCTTTACAGCTACGCCCTACCAGGACACATGAACGGAATCAAATCATCCCCATTCCTTTAAGAATCCATCGGCGAGGAGGAAATTCCCCTCAGTCAACTTCTTTCCCAGAACGCTTTCACAGTCACTTCAATCTTAACCTCTTCACGTCGGGGGACCAACCGTTTGTCTATCCTACCTAACCTCATAATTTGTAGCTCATACTCCCTCTTTTTAAACTCTTATAGCAACTTCATTTAGTCACCGTTTGCTTTTATTTGCTCCTTAGCCTTGTATTGGATGAACAATATAAATAAAAGGTTAAGGCCATATGACGTTGAAACATCCGTTCTTGTACGATCACCAAACTTAAGCAACGTCAGTCCTGGTCAGTACCTAGATGGGTGACCGCTTACAGGTGCTGTAAGCTTGGATGTGCGGGTGGTGTAATTGATTTCAGTTGGTTTCATCATATTCACTTACGCACAAATACCACTGAAAAAGGTATGTAGCCATCTCTTCTCCTCATCTCTTGTCCCAGCTATGGGTTAATTAATTAGTTAACTAATTAACCCATCAATTGGGGGAGAAGAGGTGGATTCATGCTTTTCTCAAGGTTATTTGCGCGTAAGTGAATATAAAGAACCCAACTAGAATTGGAACTCGGCTCTCTGATTGAAAATTCCGAGCCTTTATCAATTACACCACCCGCACATCCAAGCTTACAGCACCTGGTATTCTCAAGTGGTCACCCATCTAGGTAGTGACTAGTCGCGACGTTGCTTAATTTCGGTAATCCTACGGGAACCTTTTCTTTTTTTACTTTTTTTTTTCAGCGAGGTGTGGCCGTGAGCTTGAAGTATTAAGAACATAGAGAGAGGAAAAGGCGCGGTTATGAGAAAGAGGCAGAGAGATTGATCGACACAGAGAGACGACAAGAAATAATGAAAGAATGAAAGAAAAGGCGAGAGAAAGAGAGAGAGAGAGACAAAGAAAGATTTGACGTAGAAAAGAGATAAACCGAGCTATGAGAGAGAGAGAGAGAGAGAGAGAGAGAGAGAGAGAGAATTTGAGACGAATGACAATTGACTTGAGAACACAAATATTTACGTGTAGGAAGAGAGACAGCTAAAGACTCGGAGATAATCATACAAGTGGGCAGCGAATGAAGAGGAACATGTACCGAAGAGAGAGAGAGAGGGAGAGAGACGGTGATAAAGATAGACAGAAAGAAAAAAGAGGAAGGGAGTGTATCTTTGATATAGAAAACGCTTAAGGCAAGCCCATATCTCGTCAGTCCTCACATCAAACCCTACAAGTATATTTAAATAGATAAGAAGCACCCTTACAAATAATATAGGCATATTTCTAATTTAAGTAAAGAACCAAATTAGATAAAGTATTTTAGTTATGCAGGAGAATAAATAGAAATCATGTATTGTTATTTATATGGGCGAATCCTGACTTATTTTTGTACAAATTAATGATCGTCTTAAAAAAAACCGTGTGGAAGTTTTCAATATCTTGATATAGCATATAATTCGTGGAACTAGAGCGCTTTGACGTGGTTAGCATTAAATACGACTGAGTAGTGAGTTCGATCCTCGGTGGGGGTCTCCATTATTTCGACCTTATGCCTTTAAAAATCATTTGAGCACATCGACGTGGGGTAACGGTTAGCCAGCTAAATTAATTATGATTGACTAGCGAGTCCGAGCCCCTACTGGTTGCTCTTTACGTTTGGCCTTGTGCTACATATAAGCTATGCTTAGTAAATCTCCAGGCACTTCAACGTGTTGCAATGGTTAGAAAGCTTGTCTTGAGTTCGATCCTTACTGAGTGCGCTATATATTAGCCCTTGGGCCACATCTAAGCTACGTTTAGTGTAGTACTATATTTCGTAGAACTGGGGCGTGGTTTAGCTCGTCTCCTTAGATTAATTACGGTTGAGTGTTCCCTACATTCCTTGAGCCACACCCAAGCTATGCTTAGTGAATCATTGCGTATTTGACGTGGTTCAGTTGTTAGCAATCTTGTGTCACTAGATTCATTACGACTGAATAATGAGTTCGATCCTCATCGTCTGCCTCATACATTCGGTCTCGTGCTAAATCTAAGCTACGCTTAGTGACCGACTGTATTTCGCGAAACTGGAACACTTCGACGTGATGCAATGGTTAGCTACCTTGTCACGCTAGATCAAATGCGGCTGAATGATGAGCTCTATCCTCACTGAGTACTCCACGCTTTCAGCCTTGTGCCAAATGGTGTGATTTTAATTTTGCGTATTTGTGCCTTGAAGCTGTGAAAAAAATATACACTATAAACACAAACATGCCTAAATATTGGCAGTAATGAGGATATCTGGCCGCATTTCCTAACTTCGTGTTTTAGCCCAATAATGGTTACCATTCCCAAACGGGCCAGTTTAATCATCGTTTATGGCTTTTGACAGTTGTAATGGTTAGATAAGAATTTCCTTATAAAGAAACATGCAGCATGGATGATCAAACAGTTATCGTTACTGCCGGTTGAAATTCATAAAATCATGGCTCTCCACAGAATCCTTTTCTTTACTATTTGAATTACCATAACATCTTTGGAAAGATCGTCGAATGTTTTCCTATTACTTTATTCATGAATTTTAATTCAGAATTGTCCTCACGTATTCTACTGACATGAATTGGAAAGATTATATTGAATTAATTGCTAGTTCGGCTGATAGGAAAGTTGGTTCAATGTGACAATACCAGATTGAGTTGAGGTAGAGCTATTACATCGAATCCATTGCTGTATCTACTGCAAGGAAAGTTAGATCACCCTGTCGTGTAAGAAAGTTCTTCTCATCAGAGTTCATTTTGCACATTTACAAATCTAACATTCGTATGTGAATTGAATACTGCTGCCATATCTGGTCAGGTGCTTCTTCTATTCATCTCGAGATTCTTGACAAAATCAAAAGAAGGATCTGTAATGTAATAAAATCAGACTTGGCATCTCGACTTCAGGGACTTTCTCACTGACGTAACGTGGCTTCCCCCTGTCTTTTCTACAAAAAAATTATGGCAACTTCTCTGACGAGCTTTTTTTCCTGATACTCCGACTACATGAATTCAAGTGTGCTACTAGATTGGTATCTAGATCCCGCGCGTTTACTACTGAAATAGTTAAATGCAACCGCCACTTCTACTCCAACAGTCTCTTTTCTCGCACTTCTCACGTGTGGAACTGCCTTCCGTTTACGTGCTTCCCTGATAAATACAATTTGCAAAAATTTAAATGCAGCGTCAATCGTCATCTTCTGTTTTCTTGAATCCTGTTCATCTTTTGTCTTTTCCTCAATCTTCTTTTACTCAGTCTTTTCTCTCACATTCACTCCCTATAGAATCTTACGTAGCAGTGGCATTCCCGACAAGCTTGGGGTTTAATGTTTGTTTCATGCCAGAATCCACCTAGCACATTTATAAATATACCATTCGTTCGTCCAATGAAAATGTCTGTTATATATGGTCCGTTGCTTCTGTCGGAGTTAGCTCCTCCTTAATTCCCTAATTGTTCACTAGGGGTCCTTCTCCCTACACTATAAATACTGGGCGACATATTGCCTCGTTTTCTTTTCACTTTGCATTTCAGCGGACACGTTTAAAAATGTAATCTCTCGTAGAAATCCGCATTTTCGCCCACTTGTGGGAAAACGCCATGAAACACACATACACGTACGTAGGAACATTCACCAAAAAACAAACTCTTTACGCTCACACACAAACACAAATGTTGATGTCTTTGTCACTTGTAAATTTTGTTGTTTAATACATATATTTGTTGACATATATATATATATATATATATATATCGGTCTTGTTTGTTTTCTTTACATCTTCGGTTGGACTCAACTTGAGTCCGCCATGTTCTTGTATTTGGGCCTTCTGACAAGAATAAACAGAACGTGTTCCCAAAACAACAACACTCAAACCCACAAGGTCCTCTTTACTCCTTCTATATATATCAAGATTCTCAATAAAATCCAAAGTTCTACCATGTTATCTGCCCTAAAGAGGTTGCGTGGCTAAATACATACCCAAAACTTGTACTACGTCCAGAGGTTTTTAAGCAGTCCAGGTGTTAAAATATAAGCGCAGAAGACTGAAGAATGGGTCGGCCATTTTGTGCTGTAAACAATAAACGCGGTGGTTAGATTTAGGAATATACATGGAGTAAGGAAATAATTTATTCCAGAATTTAAGTTAACATTTCTATATCGTCTTCGTAGAGTCAGGATGAAGTTTGGACAGAGATGTATTTTAAATGAGGTAAATTGGGAATAAGGCCAAGCGATATAAATCCACTTCACCAATATCACCAAGAGTAAGCGTAAACAAATCTCGGAAAGCGAGAGAAAAACATCGATAAGTGTAAGTGTTGCAGTTCAAATGCATTTAGCCAGACCTGTACAAGTTTGTACGATGTTCAACAACCACGTCTATTCACTATTTTATGTTCAAAAATGTTTTCTTATCTGTGTTTTTTTTTCCCTTTCGCTTTCTTTATTACATTCGTCTAACTTTCCGTTATTTCTTCTGTCCTTCCTTCCTTCCTTCCTTCCTTCAATCCAACCTCCATTTTCCCCGCGAAAACCATCTAAAGTCGCGTTAGGCTAACATCGATATACACTTTTTTTGTTTCTCTCTATCTCTC